TCCTCCTGTCTGTCCTCCTGTCTGTCTGTACGCGATAAACTCGAAAACTACTGAACGGATTTTTATACGGTTTTCAACAATAGAAAGAGTAATTCTTGAGGAAGGTTTAGGTATATATTTTATTATGCTTTTATGTAAATTAGCTGAAATACGGCGACAAATGTTGAAGAGGTCGCAAAAAATCTCGCCAAATGGGAACTTTCCACGCGAACGCCGCGTAAACTAGCAAAGATACAGTTAAGTAATGTACTAGAGAATTCAAAATCTATAAAAATGCTACAAAAAAGTCCGCGATAGCATATCTCTATCTCTTACGGTTGACTTACAATAACCACTTTTATGTTAACATTTTTAATTAAAAACATTACGTTATTTTCAAAGTTATTTTCTTTAGTTCGGTATTAATCCTTATCCAAATGAATATTTTAGTTAGCTTAGTCATTTAATGCAGATTAAAATTGCTCTTTACACTAAATCAATCAGATGAATAGTTTTTGAGATATCGTTGTTAGAAGTAATTAGTAGCGAAACATTTTTAATGCTTGGCGAGCATTGAGATGCCTACGGCGAGTCCATCCCCTCTGCCCCGCATCGCTCGACCGCCTGCTCAAGCTATATAAACCGGGCGATGTAGCGCGCGATCCTAGGATACTTTTTACCGCGGGAAAATATCTTATTTCTGAGGAAAAATACAAAAACTGCAATGTAAGAGTATACTAATATGTAACACCTAAGAATTTAGTTTTTGGTCATCTGAACGCGGGCGGAGCCGCGGGCAATGCTAGTATACTTATAAAAAAATTAAAATTTAATGAATAGTTCCTATTAAAGAAATATTTTATGTATGTTTTATATATATTTAGTATGTCTCCCAACATATTTAAAAAAAAATGTTTATTATTGATTGATCCTTTAATGAATATCGATTTAGAGTATATTTGTAGAACAAAGTACTAACTTAATCACATTTATTATTAAATTACGTAATTATAATTATTATCTCATTATATAACAAAAACACGAAACGAAACAAGTCTCGTTAATATCTAAACCCAATAATAACAATATATCATTTCTCAATTCCCACAGTACTTTTAAGTGGATGATTAATTACCTTTTAAAAGCTTATGCCTAAAAAGTGTTTTGGTTTAAATAACACTCTTGGGTTCATGTTGTAAACACTAAATCCAGAGGTAGCAAACCTAAACAGATTAAGGTTCACTGTAATATTTTTGGCCGACTTTAAAAAAGGATGTACTCAATGCGAGTATTTATTTTTTGTGTTTATTACGCGATATCTTTAGTAATAATTGTAAAACGAGCTGTTGCGTTTTCATGAGTTGAATACACTCCAAGTATGATGTTTCCATGTAAATTTTCTAAAAAAGACCACTAACTTTACGTAAAGACGATGACCTAAAGTTAGAATAATGGAATAATTTCATTTTTTAATTTATCTTTTTTTATTTAAAACTAGCATTGCCCGCGGCTCCGCCCGCTTTCAGATGACCAAAAACTAAATTCTTAGGTTTTACATATTAGTATACTCTTACTTCGCAGTTTTTGTATTTTTTCTCGGAATTGAGATGTTGACCCGGATAACCAGCTATCAACATACCAAATTTTATCAAAATTCCTCCAGTGGTTTTCCCGTGGACAGACAGACAGACAGACAAAAATTCTAAAAACTATAGAATCGGTAATAATGTCTATTTCAATAAGATTTTCCAAAAAATATTTAATTCAGATTCGGCTTACTTAGAATTTTAGTTTATGTATACACAATTAATCGTTTGTGCTGCAATAAAATATTAATAAAGACTAGAAATATAAAACATATTATTATTATCATGTCGTTAAAGTTGAACACCCCTGACAAGTTTAATGCTCTAATTCATATTGAGCAATTCAAAACAACTTAAAATCATTTACTCTTATGACAAACTTTGTTTAGACGCATTTAGACCGTGACTTAGTCTGACCTTGGTTTTTTTGCCTATATGTCTCACAATGTTCCTTATTTCTATACTCTACCTACATACAATATGTTGAGACATACTTGAGATTATTGAGATTATAATTAAGATGGCTTTATTTGTTTTGACTTTGGCTAAGTAATTAAAGCCTACCTATTAAATACATACCTAATCAAATATTTTCGAAATCGGTGCCAGCCCATACAAAGCAAAGCACACCGACTTCGAAAATATTTGATTAGGTATGTATAGTAAATGAAAACTACCAATCAGTTATTTTTTACTTTTTAGTGCTTTTGTTTGAAGTCGGTTTTTATTTTTTTGTTAAAAAGTTTTTATATGTCATCTATACATATAATAAAATTGTAACTTAGCCGAATCTGAACATTAAATATTTTTTTGGAAAGTCCTATTGAAATGGACATTATATCGGTAGAGGCCGAATCTATACAAAGTTTTTAGAATTTTTGTGTCTGTCTATCTGTCTGTGATCGCATCACGGAAAAACCAAGGGGGGTATTTTTATGAAATTTGGTATATTGATGGCTGGTTATCAGGGTCAACATATATGATACTTTTTACTGCGGGTAAATATCTTATCTCTGAGAAATTTACACTAAACGTTAAAACGTAAGTAGGGACCAACCCGAGCGGAGTGTGGGTGAGTCGCTAGTGTCATGTATGTATGTAAAATATGTCTTTATCAAACTCCTGGTATTAAGAAAAAAGTCGTGACCTACAGAAGTAGCATAAAGGACAGTCTAGTAGATCGGTCGTCTTAATCATTTTAAAATTATCAACTAAAAATGTGGCTTTTTAGGTGAAAACGTTTTAGGCGAATACGAAAGGCGTACAATATGAGAACAGAGTTATTTTTAACTTTGTTTTTGTATAACTTAACATATTATATTGAAGCTACTATAATGTTATCAACGCCGTCTTCTATACATACGTGTAAATAAAAATGAAATACTATTCTTTGGTAAGTCCATTACTAGAGAAAGTCTGGGCTGATTTGGATGATTTTTTTCATGTTTATAATAGTTTGAATAAATTTTTATTAAAAAAAAAACTGAAAAGTTGCCTCGAAAGTTCGTAAATTATGGAATAACTGAAAGAGCTTTTGTTGTAAAGTATAATTTCAAAGATCATAAATTATATTGAAATTGGGATGGGACAACTGTCAAGTCTGAGCTCAGATAGTATAAAATAAACATCGAGACCAAAACAATCTTGTTCAACGAGTTGTCTTATTTTCAAATATCTCTCTCAGCTGATCAACGGCTTTTACCGAAACAAGATCACCTTGCAACCTAACGACTTCTCATAGATCTTTTGTTATTTTTTGTATTAAAATATCGACCATTGATGATTCGCAGATTGGTTTTTTATGTACACTTTATTTAAGTATGTAATATTAAAACGCGTTACGAATTACGTTATGGATCATGGCACATTAAAATAAAAGCATAGTCTAGTTTTAATGAAGATTTAGTGTCAATTCTGGGTATAAAATGTTAAGTGAATTTCGTTTAATCTACTAGATAGCTATTATCGCCTCAATAACATTTAATAGTGCTATGGTTTTTTTATATGAATGATTTTTGTACTTTTTCAATCTATATAATTATAGAGAAGATATTACAACAGCCTCATCCTATACAAAGAAATGGAACAGCGCATTCGGGCTGTTCTTCGGGCTATTTTTGTTTGCTTGAATAGATGTCGTTGATTCGCAAATAAAATTGTTTTATTTTATAAATATGTGCAAACTAACGTATGCTAAATATTGTAAAATTCATTCTGCATTCAAATAAAGAATTTTTTTAATCATGATAAACAATTCATAAAAAGTAAAAGCGCCATCTGTGAATATATAATAATAATATACGCAAAAAAAAGGATAAATTACGCAAATTTGGTTTATTTCTTTTCTTTTCACTTAGAAATATTTTTAAAATAATAATATACTTTTTGGGATCTATTTTTTTATCTTTTGTAAAAACACTAATAACAAATCGACACATGTAACGTCATTTTTTGATATTTTTTTTAACTACCTAATTTTTCTTTTTCGTGATGAGACCCCATAGTATAACTTTACACTCACAGAAGGCAATGAAAGTAATATTTATTACAAGGAGTATCCTACAAATCCTACTAATATTATAAATGCGAAAGTTTGTGAGGATGTATGGATGTCTGGATGTATGTTTGTTACTCCACGCAAACACTTCTGAATGGATTTTAGTGAAACTTTACAATAGTATAGCTATATATCTCTCATATACAGAACACAGGCTACTTTTTATCCCGGAAAAATGTACGGTTCCCGTGGGATAGACTTGTTTTTGTTTTTCTAGAAGCAAAGCCGAACGAAGCGAGGGTGGTCCGCTAGTTTACTATATATAGCAATAATAAATTTTTATTTTTTTGCATTGAATATTTATTTAGGTCTATCTAGGACTCTTAGGTCTAAAATACCATATTAAAAATGTAGGTGTATAAAATTCAACTCGTTAGGATTTTTTCAAAAGCAATAAAATTTATGTAGCTTCGTTTTATTATACCTGCGTTTTTCTAAAATATTTATGGGAATTTAATTTATCAACATTAATATTTATGAATTGTGACTAATATATTTATTTCTGTTTCAATTGAAAATAAAATTTTATAATATTTTTTACTCAATTGTCAAATACACGATATTTTTATAACCGACTTTCAAAAAAGAAAAGGTTCTACTCGTATGTTCGTCTGTATGTATTTTTTTATATACATAAAACCGTCATGCCGTCTCGGAGAAATCTTTCAATATTCGTTTATTAAAATCGTTTATCACTTACGTTTACCGATTTTTCCGAGACGGCTTGACCGTTTTCGCTACTTTAAACCATATTTTATTATGGGGCATATGCCCCAAGGTGGTGGAATTGGGGAAAACCAGGATTTGTGTATGTTGACAGATTTACTAAGACTTTTTTACCAACTTCTAATTGTTTATAATTATTTTTTATGTTACAGGAAGATGAAAAAGTAATGGAATTAGTAGCTAAGTACGGTCCAAAGAAATGGACTTTAATTGCGAGGCACCTTAAGGGCAGAATAGGTAAACAGTGCAGGTAAGTGTTTTCTTTATTATAAATATCATAGTTTTTTATATATAATATATTATATACATATATGTAGTCATTTAAAAAATATATATAAGTAATTATATAATCATAAATTATTTTTTGAGGTTGTTAATAGAGAAGATTGAGGTGTTGATATATGTATGTATTTTCTTGTAAAAGTTCCTAGAATAATACAATGTAGCATTTACATAAAATATATTGGGCTTAATCTATAACAATAAACTTTTATTTAAACAAATTGGTTATTTGTAACCAAAACAATAATAATAAAAAAATTATTGTCTTTATTACACTAAAACAGATAATATTAATTAAATTATTTATTAATAGTAAAACAATACAATTTCAGAGAACGATGGCACAATCACCTAAATCCATCCATAAAGAAAACAGCATGGACAGAACACGAAGACAGAATCATATATCAAGCGCACAAACAGCTCGGCAACCAGTGGGCGAAAATAGCCAAGTTATTACCTGGCAGGTTTGTATTGTATATGTAATGTATGTATATTACCGTGGTAATATTTGCTTATGCCACGGGATACTAGATGTAACGGATTAGATAAACAATCGTGGGTAGTACATACATGTACTAGCATAAATAGTATTTTTAAAATTCATATATTGACGCATTAGTGCTTATTTGTTCAAAGTACCAATGCTTGTGGTACTTCATAGTAGAGTTTTTACGTCTTCACATTTTTTGGGCTTTTTTAAAGTAAAATGTGTATTTTGTACTAATAGAATTAACATTTATAAGTCAATAATTCTGTATAAAAACTCTTACGGTAAATTGGTCGTTTGTACAAATAAGCATAAGTCTTTATTAGGATTAAAGTGGTTTTTTTTTAATTAAGTAAAGGAATTTGATTTTACCTTGTATTCAACCCTTTTTGAACGTCCCACTGCTGGAGACGAGAATATAATACGAGAGGAATCAGACCATAGTCCACCACGCTGGCTAAGTGCGTGTTGGCGGACTTCACATGTCTTTCGAAAACTTACTTGGTTCACTCAGACATGCAGGTTCCCTCACGATGTTTTCCTTCACCCTAAGGCAAGTGGTAATCATGTTAGAAATGATTCGCACATGAAAATATCAGAGGTGCGAGACCCGGGATTTGAACACGCTTCACTCGGTTTCCCAAGCGAGTGCGTTACCACTGGGCTACCACTGGCCTACCTACTTGATTATTATCAAATATATATCTTATACCCTATCCTATCTAAAGTATGATTATTTTTATTTCCAGGACAGACAACGCAATAAAGAACCACTGGAACTCAACAATGAGGCGAAAATACGAGCCAGATTTACTAGACAGTTATGAGAACATACGGAGAAAGCAACGTACAAAACGTATAGAAGTGAATGATACAAGAGAAAAAGTCACAGTTGCTTACAATAATGATGTTAGTTTTGTTTTTATGTTTTTTTTAATAATGAGATTCTATGGGATGGAAGTCGATGAGCTAGAATCAGTACTTGGCTTAAAAATGGTTTTTATTAAAAATCACTTGGCATTTTGCACTCACTAACAGACTTACTATTGCATTTTGTTTGTTTGTATTGATTATTTTTATAATAGACTAGCGACTCACCCTCGCTTCGCTCGGGATCGTTCCTAGCTTGCTTTTTCTCCCTTTTTCTATTTTCTCTTTAACCTTTTCACCCCCTTAAGGGATGATTTCCGAAATTAAAAGTACCCTATGTCCTTCCCAGGGTCTCAAACTATGTTCTTACCAAATTTCATCTAAATAGGTTCAGTAGGTCCAGAGATTACCCCCCTACAACCTGACAAACTCACAAAATCACAAACTCACAAACTTTACCTCTTTATAATATTAGTATAGATTACTAATTAGTATTTATTTAGATATTTTATTAGCTCTATAGATAAATAAAAAAAAAATGGTCATATTAATCCTATTAATATTATAAATGTGAAAGTTTGTAAGGATGTATGGATGGATGTTTGTTTCTCTTTCATGCTAGAGTGGCTGAGCGGATCTGGATGAAATTTGGCAGTGAGATAGATTATAGTCTGGAACAGTACATAGGCTTTTTATCCTGAAAAAATTTATGGTTCCCATGGGATGGATTTGTTTTTGTCTAGGGACGAACCCGAAGCGAAACGAAAGTTAATCGCCAGTATTTAATAATAGTGAACAATGTAACAATGCATAAAGGTTTTTATCTACAACAAGAAAAGGTATTTTTTAAGAAATATAAAGAAAAAAATATATTAGTAAAAAAGATCATATAAACATTTATTTTCCTTAAGTATTTTTTAAAGGCCACCTACCTGATCTTATCGAATTGTAATTTTAAATTATTTTTCTTTGTTTGTATATAACTAAATAATAACCGAAATTATAATTAAACAAATTATAATATTTTACGAGCGCCTTACTACTGGGCTACCACTACATTAAAAACTAATTTAACTCAACATTTCCAGTCAACATGGTCAGATCCATTCAACGAGTCAACCCAAAGCCCGTCGTCAAGTCAGCCATCCAAGCAAGTGCAGCATTTCCGCCAACTACTGCGAGCTCAGCTCCGAGCACGCTCGCCACCAGCTCACGGCCTCATGCCAGCCGACACCCTGGAGATCGTGGAATCGCCTTTCAAGTTAGTATTACTTGTGATTACGGTATTATTGATGATGGTAATATCGGTAATATTAACATAGGTAATATTAATATCGGTAATAGTAATATTGGTAATTCATTAAAAGTTTCGAAGGTTGGCATGTGTGTGTTTGAGTGCTTGTGTGTACGCTTTCGTGTGTCACGAGTGGGAAGGAAGTGTGTGTTATATCAATATACTTCTTATGTGTGCACTTCCGTCAGTTGTCGAAGGAACTGCATATGAGATTTTATAGTTCAGTGTGTGTGTGCGTTCTTTACATTATCATGATCCGGTTTACGACAGGCACAAGGATGTAACTACGTAAATGTTCCTAACTCAAACTCAATAAAACTATTATTGTTTTATAAAATAACATTATTAAATATTTTTACAGATTCGTAAACATAGAGTCGCTGCCTTCCAACTCACCCATAAAGAACTACTTAAGTCAAGTGTCAGCTGAAAGTAATGATCCGAATACAGGTGAATAATTATTTTAATAAGATATATTAAATTATTAAATGTCATTTGGAATTCCTAAACATACTAATATTCTGTAGGAAACACTACATAAAAAACTAGTCTTTGTCTTCTGAAAAAAATTTTATGTAAAAATTTCATCTACCATTATTTTGTGTAGTACATACTTTCACTTTCCTACTATAATTATTTTACTGTAATTATAATAAATAAAACTACATATAATAATTAAAATATAATCATCTATACAGATAAATAAAATTAAAATGTCCGTTTGTAATGTCGAAGTAAAAGCTTTTTACTAAGTGCATATGATATTATATTATATGGTACTTTTATAAGAAAACACCATTTTTTAAATTTTTGTCCGTCCATCTGTTTGTTCCGGTTAATCTTCGAAACGGCTGAACTGATATTGACGGGTCTTTCACTGGAAGATAGCTGATATTATAAGGAGTAACCTAAGCTACTTTTATTCTGGAAAACGAATTAGGGTTTCGCTAGAGACGCCATTATAATATAAATATGTCAATTTTCCAGTGACGTATGCAATTCAAGGGAATTCATCTAAAGAAATAATAGTACCATCAATATTCTCTCCGAAGAAAATGGAAACAAACAGTCCACCTCCAATACTGAGACGAGGCAAAGGAAAGAAACCACAAGTGGCCACCCCAAACCCCAATGTGAGTTGGTATCAAAGGGTTTTCTGTTTTATTATTTACTAGCTTTATTTTTATTTATTTATTATTTGTTGGTACATGCATTCATTCATTCATTCACTTATTACGAAGTTAAACATACATTTTGGTATTGTGGTGGCTTTAAGCCCAATTTGGCTTGTTTAATCATTGCATATTCCTTTATTATGTCTCTTTATAGCTATCTTAATATGTCTATATATAATTATTATACATATTTTATTTTATATAACTAAATTATCAGATTAAAAAAAGGGAAAAATAAGATCACTACTCCTATTATAACTTTAATAATTTAATTATATTTTATTTTTAGCGGTTATATTTTATTTATATGTATATTATTATTTATTAATATGAAAATTAATTATATTTTATCTTTAACAGTTATATTTTTATAATTAGGGTGCATTCGAAACGTCGAGAACCAAAAATCAAAATAAATCCGCGAAATAATTCCGAAAAGATAGTTTTATTTAAAAGTATTATATTTTATCACAAAACAAATTCAGTATCAGTTTTTTTTAATATATAACAATAATTTAAATTCCAGTCGTGGGCAGAGACAATATCAAAAGCAATAGAAGGAGCTACACCAATCAAAGCGTTGCCCTTCAGTCCGTCCCAGTTCCTGAACTCTCCGGCAGGACTGTCTTTTCCAGCATTTGATTCTACACCATTAAGGCATAATGGGAATAAGGTGAGCTTATTATTTGTATATGTATTCAGTCCTCTTTAACGTCCCACGGCTGGGGGTGGGCCTCCCTTCAATACGAGGGGGATCAGGCCATAGTCCACCACGCTGGCCAAGTGCGGGCGGACTGAACATGTCTGCAGACAATTTGCTAGGTTCTCTCACACATGCAGGTCCTTCACCGTTAAGCCTATATGCTATTTCAGATTGTAATCTATCTCTGTGCCAAACTTCATCCAGATCCGTTCAGCTGTTTTGGCATGATTGAGTAACAAACATCCAAACATCCATCTAAACTTTCACATTTATAATAATAGGAAGATTAAAGAAGTATCCTCTCTTTATATATTCATAAAAAATATTTATAATTTCCAGGAGTTAATAGGAGTGAGTCCTCTATTGCATACTCCGACACCCGCCAACCTAACACCTGGAGGGACACAACTAAAAAATAACACACCCAAGTAAGTTAATATTCTCTATTTATTTAAAAGATTTAAGTACTTCAAAGAATCTTTTTGTAAAACAGTGCAAATATTGTACGACCACAGACATTTCGTTTCAATCAGATATTAAGTACTGAAATCTTAAACAAGTTCAGTCTTCACTTAACTTTTTTTTATAACACTTTATTGCACAAGAAAATAGTACATTAACATAAAAAAAATTAATTATACAATTAAAGAGATGTGCAAAGGCGGCCTTATCACTAAAAGCGATCTCTTACAGGCAACCGATAGTAAAGGATATAAGAAAATAAGTGAGCGGAAAGGTGCATAAAGTGCAAATTATTAAACTTAACTTATTATAAATAAACATTCATAAAAATTTACATATATAAAATATTCGTTTTACCATATATATATTTATTATATATGGTAAAACTAATATTTTAACTTGTATCATGTATAGCTTAGGAATTCACCATCCATGCCTGTTATTAGCATGACTTAAAAAAATATTAAAATATAGTATATACCAATGACTTTCTATAGATTAATTTCATAATATATTGTGTTTATATAACTACTAGCGACTCATCCTTGCTTCGCTTGGGTTCGGGCTTGCTTTCCAATACAAACTTTCATCCCCATTTTCATCCTTAAGGGATGATTTCCAGCAAAAGTATCCTATGCCCTACCCAGGGTCTCAAACTATCTTCTTACCAAATTTCATCTAAATGGGTTCAGTAGATCCAGAGATTACCCCCTACAACGTCACAAACTCACAAACTTAATAATTATTTATAATATTAGTATAGATTGGTTTTCGCCGCACACCACTAAAGCTCCCAGTCGGCATGATTTTTCCGTCATCTTCATATTTTAACCAATTTACACAAAACCATAATGAATTACATATTCACCTAAACCTTTCTCATGAACCGTCTATTGGTGAAAACCATAGTTTTTGAGTTTATTGCGTTCGACCCAGCGTGGGGACTTTGTTGTGTAATATATAGTGACTAATGGTTTTGTAATGAAATAGGTTAATCTGGCTATATCTTAGAGTATATAGCGAGAGAGAGATGAATAAATAAATTATACCTAACACAAAAAACTAATTATTCCAGAACACCAACACCCTTCAAAAGGGCTATGGCGGAAATAGGGAAGAAATCAGGATTGAAATACGAACCCTCCAGTCCCGGATTGTTGGTAGAAGATATCACTGAAATGATACAGAGGGAGGAAAATTCAGATAGTACAGTACAATTGAATGACTCATTACTATCGTCTACTGCGGAACAAGATGGTAACATGCAGGTGAGAGATACTCATTTATTTGATTTTCAAAGGAAACCTATGTACAGTCAATACAGTACAATGAATTAAATTAAAAAACTTATAATATCCACACTTAATTTTATAAATGTGACAGTTAAAAAAAGAAACGGAGTGCCAGATTGGCGTGAGTTTTTGTGTGGAGATAGTTGGAGAGCTGGAGAATGACATAGGCTACTTTTTGCTGTGCAAGATTATCTCATTTCCACAGGAGAACATGTTATAATACAACCGAAAGAAATATTTATGATCAGAATTACTTGAAACTGGGTATTAATGCTCTTCAATACAAATAAATAAATACGTGTTTTAGCATTTTCCGAAATTCATCCTGTTAGGGGGTAAACCTACCATTTTAGAGTTTTGTAGTTATAGTGTGAGCGAAGCAGCGGGTTCTGCTAGTTTTAAATAAAACTATCTTTCGGATTATTTCTTTGAGACGTCTACAAATCGTAGTCTTCTCAAAAGTCAATAAGTGGTCTAGTCAAAATTGACGACACGTTTGACTCAGTTTGTAGTGACCCTACTTGCTGTGCCAGCGGTCGCGGGTTCGAGTCCCGCTGGGGGTACCCATTTGTGTGATGAGCACGAATGTTTGTACTCCAGTCATGGGTGTTTATATTTATAATGTGTATCCATAACACAAACCTCGTAGCTTACCATGGAACTAGATGGTGCTGTGTGTTAGTGTCCCTACATATTTATCTATATTTATAATATTTTATCTAAATCCATTGAGACATAAAATATTATGCATTGACAACAATTATGTTATATTAATAAAATATAAAAAGCATAATATTAGTTTACTAGCGACTCTCCTTGTTTCGCTTCGGGTTTGCCTCTAGAAAAACAAAAATAAACCTATCCCACGGGAACCGTTTATTTTTCCGGGATAAAAGTCACCAATATATTATTTAAGACTATAATCTATCTCTGTGCCTTTCATCCAGCTCCGTTCACCCGTTCTGGCATGATTGCGTAACAAACATCACATCAACATCTTCACAAACATTCACATTTATAATATTAGTATGGATTATAATAACTAACAATAAAATCCATCAGGTAAACGACTCGGGCATAGGCAGTGGCAGACGTGGCAAAGAGAACATGCCGTCACACAAGAAAGCACGTAAAGCACTAGCCCACAGCTGGGGAGCCGCCACCAGCACGCCCCACGCCCACGCCCACGCCCACAATACAGTGCCAGATGTTTCCTTCATGGAAACACCTGTAAGTATAACAAAATGGCTGCCTTTTTGTAAAACCGATATCTGTTAAACGATTTTCATCATAGCGTAGGGGGGTCATCATATGAGTTGGAAAGTGACAGTATAGCCCAGTCATTTGGTAGTTTTACCTCGAAAGTTTTCCGGGATTTTTGAAAATTGGTGATTGTATAGATTTCGATGTGCTCTATCCGAATTTTAATTTTGCCGCCTCGTATCGAATGGCGGCGCGAGCGGCATGGTAGTTTTTTGATAATATCTCCATTCCAACAATTTTTTCGGTAAAACCTCCGAAATTTATATACAAAATTATACTAGAGAAAATTTCCTACAATTTATGTAATAACTTCTTTTTTTTTTTGTAAAAAAAAATTTTGTTTCGGCGTATGAGAGCTGCAAAGTGTACCTCGACATGCGTTTTGGATAAAAAAACTCATTTCCACATCACTTTGAGGTAGATTAAGTGGCGCGTTTTTTTATCGTAGTATCCTATCCGAGTAAGCCTAATCCATATGCAATGCAATATTACAATTATATTTAGCACATCACCAAGTCCCCAATTTTCAAAACTCCCTGAAAACTTTCTACTTCTTTTTTGAGCACCAAATGACTGTACTAATTCAATCAATTTATAAAAGTGTCAAGAAAGTGTCAAAGCCTTGCTTTACAATAATCATTGATCATTATATAAGATCTTCCTTGAAAAATTCTGTCACTATTACATAAAAATTTATTTATTTGTTGAGTACAAGTTTTTATAACGAAACCAATAATAATTAATAAATGTATTCTATCTTGTTCCAGAGCAAAACTCTAGTAGGGGACAGTTCAGTACTATTCTCACCGCCATCGATAGTAAAGCATTCCCTTCTAGAAGAATCTACGAGCCTTCACAGCTTAATGAGTGCTGAAAATACCCCCGAACCAACCAAATACGAAGACATGGATATAGAAACACAGACAGAAAAAAATAAGGTACAACACCGGTCCTTAATCCATACTAATCCCATACCTAACCTTGACCCTAACATTATGTACGAATATACAAATCAACAGACAAACATACCAAACCCTAATATATTTAGAAATATTACTAATATAGAATCGCCTAGAAGCTTTGCGCGGTTGAATGCCGAACGACTTAGAACTATTACCTCGTCGAATGAATTGGCATGCGATATTAACCTCATTAACTGTAATAGTAATAACGGTAATATTGGTAACAGTAATGTCGGTAATAGTAATATAGGTAGTAATGGTAATAACGGTAACAATGGTAATGTCGGTAATAATGGTAATACATTAATAGCTCCGAAGGATGTTTTAGCGAACGCTTTAGTAGATCATATATACAAAGTGACAAATCAAAAACCTTCAACGTCCCGAATAGATGAGATTTTAACGAACAAAGTTATGAATAAACCAAATGATGTCGAAAAGGAAAATCAATGGTGGCAAATGGGTAAAGATACGACGGACGATTTATATAGCGATTATTATATGTTTACTAATATGTAAACTTTGCGTTTTTTTTTGGTAATGTAACGTAACGTTGATCGTAACGTTTTTATGTTTAACGTATCGTTAACGTTTTATTGGTTGTGATGATATAGTTCTTTTGAACTAATTAAAGGCTCTTGACGGTGTACGTCATTGTGAAATAATACTGTCGTATGCTAATTTTTTTAAATATAATTATAATATAATAACGACTAAATCAAACAATACATATATAATCAAAGATAACAAAACAGGGAATGGTATTTTTCTAAGGACAAATATTATATGAGTAAAATTTTAAATTAAAATTAAATTTTAATTCTAATAATATTTTTTTAATTGTATTTAACAAAAGAATTATGCTATAATGATTTCCTTAATTCAAGAAATTTCATTAACAGAAATATACTTAATAATCATGATCATAAATAAAAAGTAGACTACAACTAATCATCCATTGCAAGTATACAAACAAAAATAATATAAAATATTGCTATTTAAAGTAGTTATATAATATTTGAAACAATCATGATAGTATTTTTGGGATTTACATTAAATATTAATAAAAAAGAAAATTAAAATCTAATTTTGACTAATCATTGGTTTAAAAAAAGAAGATAAAATAACACTAATAGTAGCATTCACTAATGACTAAAATTATAAACAAACAGGATGTTGCAAATCTAGTTAGGGTTTTAAAAAGGTTATAAATATTTTTTCTTTGTACAAAAAGCTTTTTAACATTTTAGACGTAGTTATAGATTAAGTGCACCAAATCGAAGAGATTAGGCGGTAGACTACCAAAGATGAAATTTTCATCAAATGAATATTTGTTTTCGAATTCTAATATATAAATTAGGTTTAATTTGTTTTACGTTTAAAACTATACCTCAAGTTTACCATGCACCAAATCGTTTTAGTGTTACTATGGTTAATTTTAATTAAGAATCAAGTATTAATTTTAGTTTAGGGGTTGTTTTTTTAAATATAAAAAAAATCGCGTATTAAATTGGCTGTATGGTACATATACGATCTTTGCCTTTGGCAGAATAAATTTGAGCTTTCGGTTTAAAAAATACTAATTGTCCCCCGTTAGGAGCCCTTTCCTATCCTTATATTTATTTATTTTAAATGTCTATTAAATAATATTTTGCTTTGTAATTTGCCTATAAAATTATTAACACTTTCTTTTTTTTAATTTATCCGATTTAACCGCGAGGGTTTATTGTGTAATGTAATTACGAAACTATTTATTTTGTATTCACTTTTTTTTTGTTATATATTCACAATTTTAATATAAATCGGCAGCTACTTAACGAGTACTTTATTTGAAATTAAAAAATGACATTCCTTAAACCTTATCCCGCCATTTTGTCCTTATCCCCGCCCTTTCCCTTGCAATATTGACAGACCAGTGTTGAATCTACATTTTTTATTTATTTTAAAAACCTATTTATTATTCTTGTTGACTTGTTTATTTTTTTCTTTTTGTTACTAATTTATGTTTTAAAATTGTTTTTACTTTTTTTTAATTTATTCTGTAGGGGTAGATTTTGTATGCGACAATTTTGTATAAAATGTGTTTTTTTTCTGTTTTGTAGTTTAGTAACTGTCAATATTGTTAGTTCCATTCCACAGTCCAAATGAAATCCAATGTCATTTTTTGTTTCAATAAATGTATTTATTCACTATAATATGTTTGTTTATTTTCACCTGATGCTACGTTTTGAGTTGTGTATGTTACATTACATATGAATAACCTTTTTAATATTTTGCTTGGTAAAAGTAAATATTTTTATTTGTAAGCTTAATTAAAAATAACTTTATTGCTTCTTGAATTAGAAAATAGAGTAGTTTTGTAGTATTAAGATGGTTGTAATTTGTCACTGAATATTTAAATTTTTTGACACATTTTTTTTACAATTTTTTTATCACAAATATTTTAACAATTATTTTAACAATTTTTTCGTTTTGTTTTTGGAAAACTCAAAATTTTAAATTTTTCTTTTTAGAATATATTGATATAATTATAGTTTTAATCATTTCAATATTAACGATTATTTTTAACACATTTACAATCTTACTTATATTAAATATTTACAATCTTATTTACACTACAGTTCGAAAATTTTTTGCAAATTTATGTAAGTATAAAATATAAAATTTAATTTTTAGAAACTTTTAGACAAAAATAGTCAATAAATTTTTCTTATAATTATTTTTTATCATTTCCATTTTACTAAACGTTGATATTAATAATTTCAAAATTACTAATATACTCTAATATATTACTATAGTATAAATATAATGGCTTTTCATATGTTTTAAACATACTATATCAATTCTAAATGCAAAAGTTTGTGCTTTCAGAAATTCATTTCCAATATATAATAACATACCATGCAAATAGACTCAGATTTCAATATTAACTAATTAATTGAAAAAAAAGTTGAAGATAAATCATTTTTAGGCCTAGATTACTAAAAAAAAACAAGTTTATTTAAAGAAATTTTTACTCATTAATTAAATTACCAACACGCAACTTACATAGTGTAAGTTCCTTTCTACACAAAGTAGTATAAATGAAACGTATTGAATAGAGACTGAAATATTTTTAGGCACGAAGGCTATCGGGAGAACCTTTGGTGGTAAAAAAATCTGCAGTCCGCTCTATAAAATTCGATCAAGAAATACCAGAAGAAGCGAAAGAAGAAAGACCATCTTTTATATTGGTTTGTATAAATGTTATTTTTAAAATCATTTAAGAGTGTGAAATCTGTCATAATGCCTTTATGAAGTTGATAATAAAAGTTTTATGATTCTTATTGCACAAAATATAAGAAATAGTTTAAAGGCAAACTTAGCAATTAAACTAATTTTCTTTTATCAGTTAAATTTTAGGCCTTAATAAAGAAAGTCTACAGAAGTGTGATTATTCAAATACGAAATAGTGACATGTTTATATATGTTTGAGTAAGTAATTGTAATAAAGTGATATGTATAAACAGTCTATCTAGAGCTCGCATTATAATAAAGTCCATAGTATTCATTTTATAGTATACATTTGGTACAATGCGGAAGGCTAGTTAGTATGGGAATAGATTCTAATGAAGTAAATTTCGAAGGAGTTCATAGTCGTACATATTTTTTTAAACAGTTTAGTCAAATATGTTTGAGACTTAATCTTTGTCTAGTTATTCGAGTGGTAAACAAATTATTTCATTATTCTTTTAATATAATAAATTAAAAACCAAAAAAAAACCATAGACATCAATACTGGTTAACTTTAAGAACACTTTCGACTATTTAACAAAATTGAATGTATGAAAAATTGGTAAATAGAATCAAATGAGCATAATATGGTTTTATGAGAAATCATTGTAGGTAAAGTTTGGCTATATCGCATATCTTTCAATATGTATTGTATATGTAAAGTTTCAAAATTAAGGTATATATAAATGATCTTAATATTAATTTTTTTTTATTTCAGGCTGATAAGTGGGAGACATATGCATGCGGTAAAACTCAAGATCAGTTAGATTTAACGATGTTAGCACATCAGTATTTAAGGAAAACCGCGTTAAAACCTAGATCACTTAATTTTTAATGTATGATACAGCATATTTTTTCTGATTTTCAAGAGATTATGGAAGTGGTAAAATCATCGAATTTTATTTGCTTTTTGTAAGGTTTTGTAATTTTCGTAAAAAATGCTTTAAAATATTTTTTCTATATAAAATCTATAAGAATGCGATGATTTGATAAAATATATGAGCATGAAAAATAAAATCATTGTGGTTAATTTTAGAACAACTAAAAGGTAACAATGTATAAAATAATTTGTAATTTTTTTTACAGAAATTAATTTAAAAAACGGAGTCTTTACTTATGTTACTTTTTACACATAATAGTACCACAGACATGAAAATGAAAGGCAGTGCCTGTTTTTCTCTATAATTTCTTTATTAGTTGTGATTTTGCTACAATAATTAAAATTTAATTTAAATAATATTATTATTTGTGTAATATTGAACGCACGATGTTTGATTATAAATATTATTTTATAAATTGTAGCAAAAATCCGGAAAGATAGTTTTATTTAAAATGTGTGAATTTAAAAATCAATATTCAGAACTGAAATGGTAAGAAATTATGTGGTAAAATTAAATTAGGTGAAATGGTACTTTTTTTACTTTTAAAATAAATAATTAAAGTATCCTAAAAATAGAATATAAGTGGTAAAAATAGTAGTTTTTGTGAGTGGTAAATTTGGTAAATCATAGGTCATCTAAAATATAAAGAAATTATGTAGTGTTAATAAATAGATTCTTTTGTGAATTGTTCAAATAAATATTTTTCTATACTAATGTTCGAGAACTTATTAAGTTCAAAGTGATTTGTATATAGAAATTGTGTGATGCTAATTTTAAGATTCTTATTTATAAGTAAATTACTATGATACAGTTTTATTTTTCAGTTATTTTTAAAAAAATATTTAATGGAACTTTACAATATTTTATTTCTCTTAAAAATATCAATGTTTAAAAAAAAAGATTTTAATTTAAAGTTTTTTTTTAAATATAATAATGATGCCATTATTATTTTAGAACTTTTACTTTGCACATTTTTTTTAAATATTTAAGCAATTTGTATGTGTGTTTGTGTGAAGGAAATTTTTTAATAACTCGTTTTATCTTGTGACACATTTATCGCGTTAATTTTGACGTAGCTATTTATTTAATATCCATTTTTTCTTTGCAAGTTATAAATATTTAAAGGATTTGTAATATGGTATCACATAGACGTGACGTGAGCGTTGCTATACAAAAACTCAAAGAAAATCATTTGAGTGGTTTTGATTCCGTTATTTTAACATATTTTACTTTATAACTCTATTTATGTTGTAGATAATTCGTTTAAGTAAACTATTTAATATTGTCATTTTAAGTAAATTTTTGAGAGTGCATTTGTCTTTTCGTCGTAATTTGTATAAGTGATGTAGAAAGGTAGATTTAAGTAAAGTTTTAATATGTGACACAAATATTGTATGTTATTGTATATAGTTAAGTTTTAAGGAAGGAAATAAAGGATTGAGTATATTTGTGGTTTTATTTCAATATTATTGTGTAATCACATGCTTTTAAAGCTAAAACATTTTGATATGCTTAAAAATATATACCTTTATAAATCACATATTTAGTATGAATATGTATATTGGTAAATAAATCACTTTATATAGTGTAGTAATTCTTTCAAATGATAAGTATATTTTTATATTCACATTCGAACAAAGTTTTTTACATTCACGCTTGAACAAAGTTATTGCGTACAAAATATGAAACGTCAAAATGTATTTCTTAGATTTGATAGACTATAAAATTTAACATATCTATACATATAATAAAATTGTAACTAAGTCGAATCTGTACATTAAATATTTTTTGGAAAATCTTATTGAAATAGTCATTATTGTCGATACAGAGGCCGAATCTAGAGTTTTTAGAATTTTTGTCTGTCTGTCTGTCTGCGTCTGTTACCGCATCACAGAAAAACCACTGGAGGGATTTTGATGAAATTTGACAGGGTGATAGCTGGTTATCCGGGTCAACATATAGGACACTTTTTACTGCAAGAAAATATCTCATTTTTGAGAAAAAATACAAAAAATATGTAAAACCTAAGAATTTGGTTTTTGGTCACCTGAACGCGGGCGGAGCCTCGGGCAATGCTAGTTGTATATTAATATGGACACTTGCTGTTCAAGTTTGACTCACAATTGGCAATTTTTTTTGTTATTGTAGAGCAAGGTTAGCGGTGAATGCAATATTCTTAATGTTTTATGCTTATTCGGCTGGTTTCGTGTTCTATACGTTACAGCTACTCAAAAGGTTTTTTCTTTAGCTTTTAAACTACCTTTATTTAATTAAATCTACGAATTTCTGTTTCCTTGGCCAAGTTTTTCAATTAACTTGTCTCCTTTATTTCCATGTTTGGTCACAAATGTTTCTCTTTGCTTCAAAGATGATTCTGGATCGAAAACCCAAGGCTGTGATGTATGGATAAGTGGAAATCCGATAAAATTTGTTTGTAGGAACTGGCCGATTGGTCCCGCTGGGCTTGTTGATATGCGACAAAGCACGCATAGACATGAAAACTGTAAAGATTATTATAAATATCGTTAAAACATGATTACATGTTCTCATTTTTAAAGATCACGGTTTGTTTTAATCAATAATAAACCCCAAAACAGTTTAGTTATTAAAATGTTGGTCTTCGTTTCACGCAAAAAATACTAAACCGATTTGAACAAAATTTTGTGTAGTGATGAACTTATTACTCGAATTAAGATTTAGGATATATCATTTACAACAGGAAACTTTTATTTTCACGGGATGACCTGAGAGAAGTGAGGGTAGCTAAGTCTTTAGTTTTTATAGTATAGAATACAAAAACTGATATCCAATCATCCTACCTATATAAAGATTGACCTAGAGCGGGATTCGAACCTCAGGTACTGTTATTGGTTATTGCTATATTCCTACCTACGCTAGATGGTTATGATATTCAAATCAAAACAATTCGAGATTATAAAGCATAAAAGTAAAAAAAATATACCTTATTAAAAAGAAAATAACACTTGGCAATTTCAAATGAAACTATCTTTTCGGATGTTTTCGCGGATTTATTTTGATTTTTCTTTCCCGACGTCTCGAATGCTTTACAGCAATCATGGTCACGGGAGATACTAAGGATTTAGACGTCTCATAAATCCGAAAATATAGTTTTATTTAAAATGACAAATATTTGCGTAAATCTAAGAAAGTATTATAACACTTACCAAAATCAATAATATATTCATTTTAGAAAAAAACACGTTCACGCTGCTATGAGGCGAGTTGTGTATTGCACCTTAAAGCTGTTGGTTACTCAACGCTTACCGTTCTATAATTTTATAGTGTTACGAAAATATTCCGATCACTAGATTATAATAGTTTATCTACGTATTAAAAACTTTTTTATCCATTTTTTGACTTTCTCTAAAAGTGCAGAACCTAAAAAATAATTGGAAAAGTGCAATCATTTTAGCTGATCAAAAATGTTTGACCGACTTCAAAAAGGAAGAAGAACCAAAAATTAAAATAAATCCGTAAAATAATCCGAAAAGATAGTTTTATTCAAAATATCAAATATTCGTGTAAATCTAAGAAAGTATCATTAAGGTTTTGTGTTAAATATTGTTTCATTGGCTGATGATGATTTGTATTGGCTAAAATGTGATGATGACTGTTAAAGATGTTGGAAAAAATGCGGACTGGCAACTTAATTGGCGCGCTCCGCGAAACCAATAGAGTTATATGATAACAATGTATTACGGAATTATTCCTCTTTAAAAGATTTATTAAGTAAGTTACTGTATACGAGTACAACTACATATAACGCAATAATAATATTGCACTCGATAGTAGGTATCTGCGCAATTTAAAGTGACCAACTCAGCTTAAGCAATAAATAACGACAGTGATCTCAATATAACGATAAATGAACGTTATTTGACGATACCAAAACCCAAAGAACGATGAAAAAATTTTGAAACTTGCAATGAACAAAATCATACCTTAATAAATATCATAACAATTTTAAAAGAGAAAATATATGATGAAATTAATTTCTATTTATAACAAAAAAATAATAATAATCGATAATTATCATTTAGCCTATAGGGTTATTTTTACGCGTTATATCTATACATATAATAAAATTGTAACTAATCCGAATCTGTACATTAGATATTTTTAGAAAATCGTATTGAAATAGTCATTATTATCGATACAGAGTCCACTGGACAGATTTTGATGATTTTTTTAATGATAATAGCTGGTTATCCGGGTCAACATATAGGATACTTTTTACTGCGGGAAAATATCTCATCTTTATGAAATCTATACTAACCGATAAACGTACCTAGGGACGTACCCTAGCGGAGCGAGGATGAGTCACTAGTTATTTATATTAAACAATAATGCAATAAGACATTCTTATTAATTAACAGCTAGTGTTTAATAAAAATGCGTAGATAAGACAAGGAATGAACCTGTTATTATTTCCCTACAATCATCTTATATTAGCGTATGCGGGGAAGACTGAGTTCAGAGACCTACAGAAGTCCTCTGAGATGATGAGATCTGGATGCTGTATAAATAAACCGGTTAACAAGAAGAAGGCTTTTTTTTAAATTTTAAGAATATCATACATATTAGATAATTCTTTATAAGTTGGTAAATTAGTAGTATTCATTAGCTTTTCTTAAAAAAAAAACCAAAACTATTCGATTTGACGCAAAAAGTGTCATATAGAAAAACAATCTACAATAAATTGTGAACAAAAATGGTTATTATATATATAGTTTATTATATCTATTTAAAGTTCGATTCTTCATACAAACTTTCATCCCCTCTTCTCAATCTTGGTCTGATTTTATATTTATAAATGAAAAAATCGATAGTTTATAGAGTAATAATAGGCAAAAAATCAAACTTCTCTCTGTTCCTTGTAAACGAGTATTTTGTTTTTGCGGTGCCTCTGTGAGGCTGGGGGCCCTAGGCC